GAGAGAGGGTGAGAGAGAGAGAGAGTGAGTGGAAGAGTGAGAGGGTGAGAGAGAGTGAGAGAGTGAGAGAGTGAGAGAGTGAGAGGGTGAGAGAGAGAGAGTGACAGAGAGTGAGAGAGAGATTAGAGAGGGTGAGAGAGAGTGAGAGGGTGAGTGGGAGAGTGAGAGGGTGAGAGAGAGTGAGAGAGTGAGTGGGAGAGTGAGGGATAGGGGTGAGAGAGGGTGAGAGAGAGGGTGAGAGAGGGTGAGAGAGAGAGAGTGAGAGCAACATTACATAGAAAACAGGGGGAACATAGACATAGAGTAAGGAGAGAGGGGGTAGAGAGAGAGGGAAGGGGTAAGAAGGAGGAGAGCAGAGCGTGAAATTTTTCGTGAAATCTTTCATTTAAACAAGGAGGGGGGCACATAAAGCAAAACATTGAAAAAAACCGAAATGATGAACGAAGCAAAGTCCCGACTACACCGAGCATCTTCTTGTTTCCTCTGATCGTAAAAAAAGAGAGAGTGAGAGAGAGAGAGTGAGTGGAAAAGACCGTGGTGGACTGCCGATCGGGAGCGGCTGATTTCGTCGTAAGAACGAGCGCCACGCCGCATTGCACGCACGCCTCGGGCGCGCGCGCACGCGCTCCAGCCATCCCAGGGTCCGCGCATGCGGCAACCCAGGGCCCCCCCCCCCCCCCCCTTGCCTCTGTGTGGCGCCCACCAGCACCCCCACTCCCACGCCCTCCTTCCCCCCACCTGCGCTCCCCCCCCCCCCGCTCCGCCCCCCACCTCCAAGCCGCCAGGCCGCTGCTGCAGTGATTATCGTGCAGGAGGAGGGAAGCGCCTAGGAGGGCGAAGCGGTGACGAATGTCTGAGCAGATTGGTCACCGCCTCGCCGCCCCCCCCTCCTCCTCCTCTCGGTTCTGCGTGGCTCGGGCGCAGCCGGCCCCCGCTTTAGCCGTGGCAACGTCTCGAGTTGTGGCCGTCGTGTCGACTGAACATGTGTGTGGGGGGGTGGCGGGGGGGGGGGGGGAAAGAGCTTTATAGCTCGTCGGATTCCTCCGGTATGAATTAATAAATATCAACACAGTACGAATGGGACAGTGCCGTTTGTGGGTCCACTGCTGGATGAAGGCCTCCCCCATGACCGTGTCGGTCGTGTAGGGATTATTTTTTTTTTACTTTCCGTTACACCATACCTCAACACGCTTCACCGCGTTTCACCAGCGCGGGTTTTCGCGCAGGCGGAGTCGAGGATCGGTTCAGATTTTCTTCGCCGCTGATGTCAGCGATGGCTGAGAATCGAACTGAGGTGATCTGGTTCGTAACGCGGTGCGCTCATCGATCCACCACCGGCTCCGCATACTGTAAGCTTTCACCCATGCCCACAACAGGCCGCCGTCTGCCTCCGCATATCTCTATGTCCAGCACCAAAAAGTACATGTCCAGCACATTCACAGGCCTCTGTCAATACACGGCTGGATGAGAGCCTCCCCCGGCACCGTGCGGGTTTTGGCAGCTATTTATCAGCATTTGTTGAATCGGACCAACTCTGGACTGGTTTCGATCTTTTTTGGTTTTCATCAGCAGTCGGACCTGTTCAATAAAAACTGCTGCTTCGCCAAGTTGCTATTGGTGAGAGCATTGCCTCTACATTACAGGGGCCATGTGAGTGCAGCAAAAAAAAACGGAATAATAAAATTCGATATTCACCGTTGTGGAACATTCTGGTTGAAAAAAATTAATAAGCAAATGAACGAACCTCTTTTTTTATTTTCCCATTTTTAACAAAAAACCCCATACATATTTTCACTGCACTGATCTAATGGTCTAGACAGATATCAGCCGGCAGCATGTGTTTGAGCAAGCAAACTGGAGAAGTTTCGAGATTTTGGATCTCATCAGCAGCATTCAGGATTGCTAAACAAATACGGCTGTTATTTATCCTCAAGAGGGATGTAAATATTGGCACCCCTCCGCACAATTCGATACAATTGTCAAGATTTGGGGTCACGGTTCGATTCAAATGTCCCTTCTGATTGGACTGTCATGGTGTTGGTGGAATCAATGGTGGCACAAAAGATGCAAATAATACGAAAAATGTAAGCTTGCTTCTATATCTTAATTGCAATCCGTTTGCCGTTACACTGCTGGACAAATACTTCCCCCTCCCCCCACCTGGGGGTGGTTCGACCATACTTCACCATGCTGGTCATTACACGTTGGTAAAGGAGTCCAAGGGCATTCATGACTAGTTTGGATATCACTCGCCACTCGTGTTAGCTCTGGCCGGGGTACGAACTCAGGTGCAGTTGGGTTTAAAGTGCAGCGCATTATCTATTGTGCTGTTTGCTAGCGCTCCAGCCATAAACATATTAATTGGAAATAATTGATTTTGCCATGCACGATTTGATGCATTTATCTGATTGTAAGAATCAATTTCAATTAGTGAATCAATTAATTGTTATATTCCTAATTAAATCTCCAACCTAATTACTTGTGCGATATCCTTAACCCTTATTACTATCGAAAATCATATATCCCTTTCCATGAGCCTCCATCTGAAACCAGTGCATGTTGCATTTACATCTAAACCAATAGGCGACGTTTCTACCAAGGGCCCTTCTTCACAAAGCAGCGCACCAAATGGTTCACAAAAGGTGCTGGAAGTGATGAGTACCGACGTGCAAATCGTTGGCTTACGAGGACCCCATAACGAACGGAAACCTTCGGTTGAGATCCGTGCAATGGCCATCATCTCCGCTCGTCAATATTGTCTCCGCCGTGACAATGTCCACGCATCGATGTTGTGTGCACTCGTGACGAGGTGCAGGCCAGTCGCGGTGAGCGCCACGTCAACGCGGCACGCGTTTCGAATCGGGGTTCAACTTTGGTTATGGCATGCTTCAATCTAAAAAGTTTAATGTCGCATTGTTTCTATTTGACTGAACTCTCCATCGCGACTGCGTGGCATTTGAATAATTTAGGCAGAACAACAACACATGCCAAATCTATGTTGGTGGGGGCACTCCACAAGATTTCAAGGGTATAACAATTAATTCGTCTGTTTGCAGAAGGGCGATTATCATCGCAAGTCTTGGCAGAAAAATAATGCAGAATTGGTGGAAACGATCAACGGTTTGGCAATATCTCTCTCACCAAACGTAAAACAAAAACTGCCTTTCTGCACCATACATGACTCAGGTACTAACTGTGCCGCTGTTGTGGTTCCTTTGGTTTTTGATCATGGAAAATGTTTCCATATTTACAACATTTATGAGAACGTTTGATTAGTTACGTAGTGGGGTTTTTTGTCACGCATTCTATTACGCACGAATTTCCTTTTAATTCCACAGCGTGACTTGTAAAGTCACCCGTGGTTGTCATCTGGAGAGTGTTTGCTCTTTGCCATCGCAAGTAGTGGGATTCACGACACCTGCAGTGGGACCTACCGCAGCTGATGCTCGCCGCCCCAATATTCACGTTCAGACGGGAAGCACTTCACCCGTTCGCCCCAAAAGAGAAGATGTCATGAACTTTGCTTGAATAGCAAACCACCGAGTGGAGGAGCGAGTAGGGCAGTGGGTAGCGAAGCGCGCCATCAAATCGATTCCTGGCCACGATTAACCAAAGTGGGGAGTGATATGTGAACCGGTTCTGCCCCCGCCGCTCCGACCCCCACTTCCCCCCGCCCCCCACTTCCCCCCGCCCCCCACCTTTCACTCGCCCCCCGCTCCCCTTTCACCAATCCGCATTGGCCAAGGTAATGAAGGTCAATCAACCCGCATTTATAAAATGAGAAGGGAAGACCTTCGTCCAATCATCCAGCAGTCGCTTGACCACGAGCAATACGTTAATCTACTAACACACAATGTTTGTGTGAATTGACTGGGGGTGGTATTGTATATTTAATTTTTAGCGCATATATTTTTGCAAATTCCGTGATTTTTTATATTTAGAGTACGATTTTTTTAAATATATAGCTAAGATTTCCCATGCATCTTAAGATATGTTTTGATTGCATTGGTTCGAGAGTTGTTGCTTTTTCTTTCAACGGGATCTACAAAAAAACTGCAACGATCAGCATATTCGAAACAATCACACACGCACACACCCGCACACCCCCCCCCCCCCCCACATCCATACGCACAAAGACAAGACAAAGACCCTCCCCCGTATCGCCTTTACCAGACTGTAGGGGCAAGTGCTGTTAGCGAGCACCTATAAAGGCCGGCACGGCACACGAGGGGGTGGATGGCCAACACAACGCCCGGCCGCCTTTGTATCCCTAGTCGCAATGTTTACACACTGCACCAGGTGCTCATTTGAGGCTGAGACGACCTAGGGGAGACCCAGGACCGGTTCAAATAATCGTCACTGGTGTTGGCCGTGAGCAGGAATCGAACTCGGGTAACCCAGTTCTTGGCACAACGCGCTTACCGCTACACTACCGCTCTCCACACACACACACCCGCACGCGCGCGCGCGCGTGCACGCACGCCCAAGGACACTGCGCAGTGACACGCACACACACGCGCACACGTGCGGGTAATGTTAATCCAATCGCTTTACGCTGAGCTTCGCCAAGTGCTCACTTAAGTCGAGAGCGACGGGCCCCATTGTGATTTTAATTAATATTAATTTATACACGTATAATTTTTAAACGCCCTAAGAACAAAGGAGTTTTCCTTTCCCCCCCAAAAATCCAGTAATGTCGTGCCCTTCCTAGAGATGTGAACAAAAAAAAAAACACGCAGAAATCGTTCGGCTGCGCCTGACCGTCAATTACATAACATCGCGTGCTCCCCTTTGGCGCGTTATTAAGTTGCACCGTGCGTAACGCTCCTGCGGATACCACACAATCATCGCTCTTTACACTGCGGCACAGGCGGGCGGACGGGGTGCAAGCAAGTATCGAAACTATCATCGGTTGATATTCGACGGAAGAATAACCCTGAAAGCAGAACGAGTAATTATTATAACAGTGTAGAGCGACAGACTTTGTTTTTTGTACTCACAGTTGAATATTTCTTTGCGAATGAAGGAGGTGCTCGTTGGGCTGCTGCTGCTGAATGTGATGATCGTGCCGCTGTTGTTGTTGTATGATGATGATGGTGCCCCCCCCTCCCCCCGGTTTAGCGTTAACTCTACCCTTGGGGATTAGAGAGAGAGAGAGGGAACGAGTCAGTTGAGAGAGAGAGAGGAGAAAAGAAGAGAGGGTGGGAGTTTGGAGCGGAGCGAAGCACACGCTCTCCCAGTCGCTACTGAGTCGCTGACCGTGGTGCTGAGAGAGAGAGAGACGACGAGAGAGAGAGTTTGGAGCGGAGCGAAGCACACGCTCTCCCAGTCGCTACTGGGGCGCTGACCGTGGTGCTGATTGTAGCCACCCCCTCTCAGCGCGTGACGTCGCCCACCCCCTTACCGCTGCTGCTGTTTGCTACTGGAGGTAGTGGTGGGAGGTGTGTGGAGTGGGGGGTAGCTGGTGGGTAGGGTAGGTGGGTGGGGGGTGTGTTGGGACAGGCAGGATGGGTTGCGCCACACCTAACAACGACGAACGCCGCGCCATAGGAGGCGCACGAAGTAGAGCCAGGAGATGTTTGGCGATGGCCCGCGTTGGACATTGGTGCACGAGCGTGAATAACAAAACGAACAAATACAACTGGAAACATCAATAATAATATTAATACGGTTTCCTTTAAAATGCGACGTTTTGGGCAGTGGTCCTGCTTTAGAGCTCATCATAGAGAGAGGCCAGCCTCTCTGTGCTTGCTGTGAAAAGAAGGGATAATGCCCGTGAAGAAGGATCATTGCCTTGAACGTCGTATATTATATATACAATATATTAGGGAAGTGTTATTGACGAATGTGTTGAATTCAAGCAAGAGGCGAAGAGAGAGGGCGGCGTTCGTGAATAACGGACATACAGGCCGAGGACATCCATTGAGCTACGAATAAAAGTTGACTGCTTGGAGTGGCGTACAAGAGAACAGGTCAAACCGCATCTTAACATTGATGCACCGTCGAGTGCTGGCGTTAACAATGATTTGCACTTGAGCAGAACAATATATCTGTGGCCAAATGTGTCGAGCAATGACCCTTCTTCAGAGCAGATACACAACAAGTGAGTCAGACGAAGGAGACTCACTTCGCAGTTAACGAATCGCAGCCAGTAGTGGCGACGTCTCCTTCTCACGGCGGGGGGGGGGGGGGCAGTCTATCCATAAGGACGACCACTGCTCACCGGACACAGATGTGGAATGAGTTTTTTGTTTGTATCATCCCTCCGAAGATCGATTAAGGCCGAGTCGACCAATTCGCTCGACCCTGTGCTCGAAATGTGAACTCAGAACACGTTGACCGCGAGTCAAAAAAAAAAACTGCCGTAACCGCAGCGCCACCCGGTCAGACTCGCCTCCAGCCGCAACACAGCATTTAACAATGTTTTTTTTAAATCACTGGGACATGTGGAAACGGGTGGTTAACGAACGCTTCGCTATTACCAGCCCATAGGTAGCGAGCGTGCTCAACAAGGACGCTTCAATAAATGCTTGCATCGAAACGCGAGTGAGCGTCGGGAAATATATGGGCGATTGTAATCATCTAAATTGCCCTACGGAATGTCTAATGGGTATACCAGCTATTGTGTGAGTGCGGCGTTTTGGGCTCTTACGCTGTTAGGTTGGTTAGCTGCCATGAGACGGTGTGGCCCATTCATGGTCTGAATAATTTGTAAATGTGTTCACGATTGCGGAATAAGCACTCCTGACAAACTGCGACAGAAGGATTGGGAGGTGGATGGGATTGGGGGGGGGGGGGGAGCTAAGGAGGATTTATCTCGGGGCGCACGGATTTAAATACGAAACCGTCGACTTTGCGGAAGGGGAAGGTCACCGTTTCTCCACCGGATAATACTGCGTGGCTGCTTTGTTAGTAGGAGTACAGTGCAAAACAATCAATTGTTGTACTGCATTATGTGCCGGCCGGCCTTCACCAAACCCACACTCACTATGCAGTGTGGTGATGACGTACGGCCTTCACCAAACCCACACCGACCGTGCAGTGAGGTTATGACGTACGGCCCTCACCAAACCCACACCGACCGTGCAGTGAGGTTATGACGTACGGCCCTAACCAAACCCACACCGACCGTGCAGTGAGGTTATGACGTACGGCCCTCACCAAACCCACACTCACTATGCAGTGTGGTGATGACGTACGGCTTTCACCAAACCCACACTCACTATGCAGTGTGGTGATGACGTACGGCTTTCACTAAGCCCACACCGACCGTGCAGTGTGGTGATGACGTACGGCCTTCACCAAGCCCACACCGACCGTGCAGTGTGGTGATGACGCACGGTCAAATAGTTCCCCTGGCCCGCACGGCGTGTGGTGCCCCTCATCCAGCAGTGTATTGACAAAGGGACTGCACGATACTTAATATTCAAATCCCGACAGGTGGCGCTGCGATAGAGTTCGACTGGCAATCGCCAGGTTGTGAGTTCAAACCCTGGTCTCGGGATCGACTCTATCTCATCACCCCTCTGGTGTCATTTAAAGTGACCATTACATTGTGGGAAGTCAACACTAGCTGTCATATGGCCATACGAGCACCCACAGTAGTAATATGGAATTCCCATCCCTGGCTCAGGGCCACCAAGGTGCGTTTGATCGAGGATATCCTTCAAATAACGTTCATTACGAATACGTTTAGCATTTACGTGTGCTCTTAAAATGTGAAAAGGGACTTGAGTGCCCGGAGGAAGACCGCACACGTGAGTGGACATAACATCAACTCGACAACCTCTCTGCAGATGCCCTCCGAGCAACCCGCTCGCTTGCTGTGCTCCTTTCTGCGGGCATCTCCTCGTCGTCCTGCAGCTGAACGTCGATGACGCACGTGACCTACACGTGTGTGGCTGGACCGTCATCGTCACTTTTTTACTCGAGCCAATAACACCGAAGTATATTATGCAGGGCTACAGTACGGGGCTTCAATGCTTAATTAACGTAGACTGGTGTATACGGGGCGTGACTAGCAGTGACTGGCAGTGGCCACAGCGATTGGGATACTACCGGTTGTGTTGTGCCAATGTGCGGAAATATATTTCAGGGTCGGATCGACTCTGACTAAATTGAACCTCTGTCACAGCGTATTGCCGCTGTGTGGTGGCGCCTGGCTATTAATCAGAGCGCGCTATGAACACGCCAGCACGAGTTCCATTCCCAGTCAGGGCTAACATCACCTCCTTCACGAATCCAATCAATGGTGGTGAAGGTGTAGTCAAGCCAAACAACTCCCCCCCACCATGACCGACAGGGCATGGGGATGCCGTTGTCCGTGAGTGGTTTGACGATCGTCAATAATTTAGCAGTAACTTCATTATTTATATATATGGTGTATTACATAATAGCACCTGAATAACTGAATTATTGCTCATGCCTGAATGCATTAACTACCGTTTGAAGGAATACGGATCCCGCTTCTGTTGAGCGTGTCTTGAAAACGCGATAGCTACAACGGTTGTATAAACACGTGTAGAGGAGGAGTGTGAGCAACCATGAGGGTTGGCGATCAGAGCGAGGTGCGAGCGAGTTGATAGCCGAGGATGACGTCAAGCCACGGGCGCTGTAAAGGGGGCACCTTAGGAAACAAAGGCGGGTCCGAGCTAGGGTCGGAGCCGCCAAAGGGGGTACTTAAGGGGGACCCCGTGACGAAGGCGTGGTCATTGTGGGGAGCCAGGGAAAGGGTCGGCTGGAAGAAGAGAGCTAAGGGATAGCCGAGAGTAGCGTCCGGGGTTTTGTCAGTAGGGATCAGCTGAGAGAGGGTTTCTCTCTCCTCGGCGCCGGACGGTGTTAGATGAGCCCCCGTTCCGGGCAGATGAGTGAGAGAGCCCTAAAGGATAGCCGAATGCTGGACCAGGTACCGTTGAGAGTCCTGAGTAAGGACCCAGATAGAGAGCACCTACCTCTGGTGTGAGTAAGAGCGTTGAGTTCAACAGTGTTAATAAACGGCAACAGCCCTTCTAGTAAATGGTCTCACTGCACAACATTTGCACGAATAAAGCGCACGCCGTGAGCTACTGCTCATGCTATTTATCAGTAGCTCATGCTTACTTTGAAAATGTCACGTGCATACAGTGCACGTTTGAGTCGCTAACACGACGTTTAAAGAAGTAATTTTCCGCGAATGTGTCCAGGCCAGCCAGATGGCACGGTTACTCCTCCTCCTTCTCCACCGCCACCGCCACGACCCCACGTTGGCTCACGTTGGCTCACGTTGGCTCACGTTGGCTCACGTTGGCCCACGTTGGCCCACGTTGGCTCACGTTGGCCCACGTTGGCCCACGTTGGCTCACGTTGGCTCACGTTGGCCCACGTTGGCTCACGTTGGCTCACGTTGGCCCACGTTGGCTCATGTTGGCCCACGTTGGCTCACGTTGGCCCACGTTGGCCCACGTTGGCTCACGTTGGCTCACGTTGGCCAACGTTGGCTCACATTGGCCCACGTTGGCCCACGTTGGCTCACGTTGGCCCACGTTGGCCCACGTTGGCTCACGTTGGCTCACATTGGCCCACGTTGGCCCACGTTGGCTCACGTTGGCCCACGTTGGCTCACGTTGGCTCACGTTGGCCCACGTTGGCTCACGTTGGCTCACGTTGGCCCACGTTGGCCCACGTTGGCTCACGTTGGCTCACGTTGGCCCACGTTGGCTCACGTTGGCCCACGTTGGCTCACGTTGGCCCACGTTGGCTCACGTTGGCTCACGTTGGCTCACGTTGGCTCACGTTGGCCCACGTTGGCTCACGTTGGCTCACGTTGGCCCACGCACGAGCCTGAGAACACCGCACACAGCCACGGCGCAACGTACGCACGGAGCGTGCAGCAAGCACCCCGATCTGACCACCCTCGCATTTCCCATTCGCTCGGCCGTTTGAAGGACGCTCCCCCGTGTGCGAGCACCAATTAGGAAGTAACAACGGCTGTCTGTGCAGGAGGATGCCGATCGCTAATGGTTACGTGACGCCGAAGCATCCTTTTAACGTGATGAGAGAGGCTGGCCCTGGCATCCGCGTTGGCTCAACTGCACGGACAAGGATGGGAGATTTTTTTTTGTTGAAGCGTGATTGAACTGACGGTGGCATTGCCATGAATGTGATATTAATATTATTGAGAAGAAGGAAAAGCAAAAAAAACGAAGGTGTTACTTTGACGTATCCGTTCGTATAGAAAACGTGCACGTACGTTGTGAATCGTCGTCAGTGATAATCGTCAAAATCATTCCGGTGGCACGGGGGAGGAGGCTGCAGGTTGGCGCAGTCGTGACGGTCGTGCCTCGTGGCAAGAATATCCAGGCTCGACTCCCGGC